AAAAAAAAAACAAAAAAAGGTACTTGATTGGTAGTGGTGTATTCCTTTAGTCCCAGTACTAGGGTGGCATAGACAAGCGGATCTCTGTATGTTCAAGGCCAGCCTGGTCTACAAAGTGAGCTCCAGGACAACTAGGATTGTTACATAGAGAAACCCTGTTTCAAAAGGCCAAAAAAGAATAGTAGGGGAGGGGTAGCTGGGGAGGGAAACCCTAGGGAAAAGTCAGCTGCATCCCACTCCTCTTCAGGTAAGTGGCCTCTGCATTTATGGAGCCTGAGCTAGAACTCTTCTCTAACTCTCAAAATTTAAACAGGATAGGAAACCCTAGAAAGGGGGGTGGGGGTGGGGGGTGATTGGGGTGAGGGTCAGCTGACCTTTATACCTGCTCTTGGGCAGACACCAACCAGGAGCTCCCTGCCTGTGGCTCCTCCTCCAACCAGGCCTGACTCTCCTGCCAGCCCCAGGGTTAGGAATCAAAGCCAGGGCCTCGTAGTGCTAGGCAAGTGCTTTACCACCGAAATTCATACAGCTCCAGCCCCTCTTCTCTCTCTCTGTCTTTGTAGTGCCAGGGGTTGTTCAAAGATGAGGGTACACTTAGACATGGTTTGACCCTGTCTCAGGCTAGGCTGCGCAGAGCTCACACCTTTGGTTCAACAGTACACCTCTTCAGAGACCCAGTCCCCTCCTGATGATTGGAGGGGCTTCCAGGCATCCTCTTCACCCATTTCCTGCCATCCTTGACCACTGCAGAGTTGTACAATGTCATTTTCCAAAAACAAATGGTCCAATACTTATGTTGATCAGGGATGTTTTGGCCAACAGTTAATGATGAATCTGCTTAACTGTTTAAGGACCTCTCCTAAGAGACTATCATTTATCATGTAAAAAACATTCCCTAATATAGGAAATTTTCCTAATAATAGGTTTTCTGGGGGCTGCAGAGATGGCTCAGAAGTTAAGAGCACTGACTGCTCTTCCAGAGGTCCTGAGTTCAGTTCCCAGCAACCACATGGTGGCTCACAACCATCCGTTATGAGATCTGCTGCCTTCTTCTGGTGTGCAGATATACATGGAAGCGGATTGTTGTATACATCATAACAAATAAAATCTTAAAAAAAATAATAGGTTTTCTGTCCCTCATAATAGGTTTCTCTGCTGATGCAGTAAGCCGGATCAAGCCCAATTGAAAAAGTCTAACAACAGGTTAATTTGAGCAAAACAACTACCAGTCCCAGAGATGAAGCTGTACCCCCAAACTAAAGCAGGGAGACTTTATAGGTTGTAGGCAAAGGGTGATGATGTATCTGCCACAAGCTGGGTTTGTGTCAAAGTATGGTCAAAAGCTGAGCAGTTAGGTGGGGACTTGGGCTGCTGACGGCATCAGGGGAGGAAGTTGTAATAATTGCCAAGAATTTGGAACTGGGCTTTTGGGTGCCTTTCCTCTGTTTGGAGACTCTCTGAGTGGGTGGTGGAATTTGGAGAGAGATGGGGAGAGGGAGAGGCAGAGAAAGGAGAGAGAGAGAGAGAGAGAGAGAGAGAGAGAGAAAGGAATGGGATTTTCTGGCCCATGCAGGGATGAGCTGGAGGTTCCAACTGAACAATTATCATAATAAAACCTACTCCCAGCCCGGCGTTGGTGGCGCACGCCTTTAATACCAGCACTCGGGAGGCAGAGGCAGGCAGATCTCTGTGAGTTTGAGGCCAGCCTGGTCTCCAGAGCGAGTGCCTGGACAGACTCCAAATACTCCCACCCCCTCTGTGTCCACAACATTATTCAATTTAGATTGCTTAATCTTGAAGTATTGTCCAATAGAACTGAGGACTAAATACTTGAGACTCTGGGCAAGATAATAAAAGGCTTCTAAGTCTTTTGGACCCTTAGACTGGTTGACATTCATAAGGAAGCAAATTTTTAAATTGTAGTTTATAATAAGGGGAAAGTACATATGCCACAATGCTTGCGGAGGTCAAAGAACAACTCTGGAGAGTTCTCTCTCTTTACCTTTACATGGGCTCCAGGGATAGAACAGGTCTCCAAGCTTGTGTGGCAAGCTGAGCCATTTCTCTGGCCTGGAGCCAATTTCTGATATAAAAGAAATGTTTGTCTGCTGCGGTGATTTCAAGCTCTTCCCAGGTTAGTCAGGAGGGGTTACAACACATCATTTCCCTCAGGATTTCACTGTCAGCAATAACTAATTGTTCCATCCTACTTTTATGT